TGACGTGGTACACTGATTATGAATACAAGAGTGCACAAACGCAAAATGAGTGTGCTATGCAAATTGCAAAAGTTTGAAAGGAAATGTATGTATGTATGTATGTGTATGTGTGTGTGTGTGTGTAGATGTGTGTGTGTGTATTACACACACATACTACCCAGCCAGCCTATAGTTACTAGCTCTAGGCCAGCCTGCATTACAGTACATTGTTCATCTCTCAGAGGAGAGACCACCCACCCTTGCAAGCACCACAAAACGGCTCATTCTTTACTACCAACTAGACTTGTGCAGACGCAAAGCTTACCATTTCAGGCTGTGATTGGTTGATAAACACAATGTGGAATATACAGGCGATTTGCAATCTGATCAATGACGAACACGCTTTCATAGGAAACCCACCGTAGTGTTAAGAAATATGATATAAAAACATACATTTTCACATATTTCCTGACAACATTTTCGCAAAAACTCTTCATACTTTAAATTCCCCAGGCCTTATCTTCCATATTATTGCAAGATCGGCCTAATCGTGTCACAAACAAAGGAAGAGATAGAAAAAAAATGACTTCAAAATTCGCTCAGAATCATCATAATCTGCTGATTATGCATATAGTACTCAGACCTTGTCATTTAAGGCAAGCGATCGCGCTCGCGCACCATCACACACCTAAACTGCTATCGAGGGGTGCGAAAAATAGCTCGCCTTACATTTCGAAATAATTCACCTCCACAGCCCTCGAAATGCAGACGCAATTTTTGCTGAATACAGCAATTAATTATCAACGTAAAAGATGCTAGGCCTAGGCTGAAAAACGTCTTTATACCGATATCGTGGGTCATTATACTTTTTTGTGTACAATGTACGAATTTCTACAAACTGAACAAACAGTTAATAAACAACAATTTCTGGATGAAATAACGCAATAATCACATTGCTGTCTTGGAATTAACAACTATTAATGATGTAGGCCCAGCACAACACCCTGTGAATGAACCGTTCGTACTGCTTTTTCAGTCCCAATAGCATACTGCTGCCAAAGATTATCTATGGATTTAAAACGATTTAAAAAGTTACATGGGTAGATCAAGTGAAAATTACGCCTTCCATTGTTTAATAAAGTGCATTATCGCTCCTCAAAAATCGATTGGAATCAACCTGAAACTTTTTTAGTAGACGTTTATTCGGATTTGGATGTCGTTTGATTCGTCAGTGTAAATTACAAATGCATAGCTTCCCTTATTCTTCAAACAAGACACTTTTGAGAAACATTTTGCTAATTTAATTACAGAGGAAATTTGTAGAGAATAAAACTTAAATTTGTTAGAATTATTTACATTCAATTTATAAATAAAGGTGAAATAACACAGCAAGCTGTCATGCAATGAAACTTTGGGCGATCTGACATCATCACAGCCAAGCACATGAATGCACATGACACCACAAAAAAAAAAAAACCAATTAGCTGGCAGAGGTTAGGAGGCGCAACCTGATGTCTGATGTTTACAGCAACCAACCGACCAGCAAGTGGTATTGTAACTACGAAGAATGTGTTGGGTTTAGGGGAAAAATAAATATAAAAAGCATTCTTTTAATGGCAATTAATTTTGCTGTACAGTACAACACAACAGATACTGTACACTGTATATATGTTAACTTTTTGTTAACCCCCCCCCCACGCCATCCCGCAAAATAATCATGGTAAGTGTTTTATTGCTCGTCTGCCATTTTCAAATGACAAGGCCTGAGTTGACTAGGAATATACCCAAGGAAGAGCTAGAGGCTGCACGTTTTTAGTGAATGTTATACCAATTCCAATTACAAGTGTAGCAATGTAAAGCACTTGCGAGAAATTTATACTTATTAATATTTTACCTGTTTTCTCCATCTTCCTTGTGTCCTCCATTTCACACAGCAATTTAAACTGTTAAACCAACTTCCACACAAACTGAGTAATGAAAATGAAGATAATTAGTCTTTTTTCAACATTATCATCATACATTTGCTTTAATTTACCTTATAAATACAAGGTAATTGACTTTCACATGAATGATATTCTTATAAATGGTAAATATTTTAAAGATTAACATTAATTATACAACAGGGCTGTTGATCTGTTGGATTGTGGAAAAGATATTCAATCGTGGCCTGTGGCTTACTCTCATTCTGAAAAGCTTTGCAGGCGATTAGTAAATTTTAAAAACTCTACTTACCCAGATGGTTTGGTAAACACACACTTATCTCCAACACTTCCCCCCCCCCAAACTTTGCCTCAAATAATCGCCTCCTTCAAAGTCTTGGATAAAGCGTAGCGTCACATACTGGCTCTCCCACGAGTATTAATGCATGACTGGTAATGTATTTTCTACAGTTCAGCCAAGTAAAAAAAAATAGATCCAAATAAGAATCAATGGAGTGAATTTAATTTTACTTATAGTTGTCACAGGTACAGTAGTACAATTTTTATCAGGACAGATGAGACAATCAAATATGTTGTCCAAAGTCAATTCAAATACTTACTGGGAAACAATCATAATACTGTCAAAGAAAAAACTAAAAAATTTACTTAAAAACTTATGTCCACAATTCTACCTAATAGTGGTGTAGAAAAATATTTTTTATTGGGGGGGGGGGAATGATTGAAAATTCTTGGAATTGACATAAAATTACTGATGTCGTACACACACTTCAGTGTGAAAATGTGACTTGCTTTGCAAGCACATCTAACATCTAAGGAAAGAAGAGCTTAGATTGGTACCAGATAAAATAATTTTGTTATCAACATTAATATATTATGCTAATTTTCATCTTTGTAAGCGCATAAGACATT